AATCATCAGTATAGACCAGCCACAACCAGACAGCCAAGGTTCCAAACCTCAGGGTTGGAATTAAGGGGTCGTGGTACCTATATCCCACGTTGGTGGCTAGGGCTATTGGACTGCAATGTTATATATATATATATATACTTTTGATTGGATCCCAATGAGAAAGTAAACACCATCAAAGTGGACAAACTTTCTCCTCCACCTGAAGAAGTCCAAAAGACAACACCTCAGGCTTGGAATGATGGGATTGTGTATGCCGTACTCAACAATAGAACAGAACGCATCCTGTCTGGAATTATGAACATTCATCCTAACTCCCCAACCAAGTGGGCAAGGAGTATTCTGCTTGCCCCTGGAATAATGGAGAGGATATGGAACCTGTGCTCAACCAAGGACCTAGGATGGGACCACTTAGCATTCGTAATTATGAGGAGACAGTGGCCCTCCTTCCATGAACAATATACGAAACCAACATTGATCAAAGAGAAGGGCCGTGCACCCCCCAACCGTTAGGGTAATGGGAGATAAATCTTGGGAAATAGTAGGATTCCAATGAATGAATAATCATGAACAATGAACTGTAAAATCTCAATTCGGTAACTGGAAATGTCATTTGGGTTGAAGTATTGAGTATTGAGGATTCAAAAACCTTCTGATATTTAGAATACTGAAACATAGTGGATAAAGATGCCTTATATAAAGCCACTGTAGACAAATCAAGACCCTCCTCAAATACCCAAGTCATAAAGTGGGACATGGTAGATACTTTAAGATGAAGAGGGTTTAAATTCCTTTTAATACACCACTGATGATAAGTATATCATTTCCACTGATAAATGGCTGTGATTGGCCTACATAGAGATTTAATTAAATACAGAGAAACCTGAGAAGTTAAATCATTATGTTGGCAAAGGATCGCTTAACTTCCAAGCATGAAGATTGAGTTTCCGAACATCTGAGTAGACAATGTCTGATCGAGGTTGTCTCTATAGAGACTGCCAATGTGGTAGAGGTTGACATTCCTGCAGATACCGAAGAAGTAGAAACCATGTCTGAGCTGGCCAATATAGTGCAAACAAGAGAACTTGACAGGGAGTGGAACGAATCATAGTCAGAACCCGGGGCAATAGCTGAGTTGGGGGAAAGACATACAGATGTAAACCTGTCCAGTCCTGACTGAACGCATCTGCTGCCAACACTTGAGGTTGAGGTATCAGAGACCAAAACAAATGCAGATGAGAATTCCAATGAGTTGCAAAGGCATCAATCATTGGGGACCCAAACTGAGAGCAAATCCACTGAAAAACCTCATGATGTAGCATCCATTCTGTTGGAAAAATCCAGTTGGGTTGAGACAAGTGATCTGCAATTAATTTCATTACTCCTGGAACATGACGTACTAAAAGACTGATACAATGGGAATGAGCCCAGTAGAGAAAATCCAAGGTACAAAAACAAAGGTCTCGAGTATGTGTGCCTCCTTGACGAGAAATCTGAGATACCACCGTGCAATTGTCGGAGTGTTTCATGACAATTTTTCCTTTCAAAAAAGACCTTGAACCATTGCCCAGTGTACTGCAAGGAGTTCGAGAACATTGATATTGTGGGTAGACTCGTCTTCCATCCAAATACCCTGGAACTCCTGACCTTGAAGATAAGCTCCCCATCCCTGAAAAGATGTACCTCGGGACAAGGTGGGGGAATGGATACCCCAACAATAGTGTTGTTCTGATTCAACAACCATTCGCAATTAACGATGTTGCTCCTGAGTAATGAGACAGGATGATCCAAAGGATTGGAATGCATAAACCATTGGTCGAGTAGTGACCATTGAAGGGACCTCTTATGTGCTCGTCCCAAAGGAATGAAAGGCTTGAGGGATGCCCACATCCCCAAAAGAGAGAGAGAGAAGCATCCGTGCAGTAGGAGAAGGGGACATAAGTAAAAGCCTGGCGGCTGTTTCCATGGCGTGAACCCGATAGGTATTGGTTGAGCATGACTTTAGTGAGTATTGTAAAAACACACCCTGATGGATGAGATATTGCATTGGTGACAGAATAGACTTCTCCAATCTGATAAGGAAACCTGTTTTTGTGGCTTCTGAAAGGAAAATCTGAGTGTGTTGTTCTGCTAATTGACGGGATAGTGCCAGAAGAAGCCAGTCATCCATATAATGATGTGTGCACAGGTCCAAGAAATGCAGATGATAAAAAAAGTTCGAACAACTCTGTAAAAGACAGAAGGTGCTGATGCAAGACCAAAAGGTAGAGCCCTGAACTGCAGCACCTGATCCTTGTGCACAAATCTGAGAAACCTCTGGGAAGATTCCGCTATGGAAATATGGAGATAAGTGTTGGTAACATTGAACTTGGTCATCCAGAGCCCTGGTGCAAAGTGCCATCATAGGTTGAGAAAAAATTCCATTATAAAGCAAGGAGAATCTAAAATTTGGTTGAGTCGAGACATATCGATAATTGGACACCAATCTCCTGTCTTCTTGGGTACAATGAATAAATGGGAATAAAATCCTGGAAGAACGGGATCGACTCTCTCTAGTGCCCTTTTGACTAACAACTCTATTATGGCCTGGGAATGAAGCTCCCCTCACTGTGGATCTGTTGGAGGTGAAAAGGCAACCGGTTGTGCAGATAATGGTGGAGGTGATGTAAATTGAATGACCAACCCTGAAGCCAGAACATTGAGTAACCATGAATCCCTGGTGAAAGAACTTCAGATGTCCAGAAAGTGATGTAATCGTGCTCCCACGCCCACAGGATAGTCACTGACGCTGATGTCGACAGTCCAACCAAGCCAAAGATCCTCGAGAATAAGGACAGACTCTATTATGGGAACCAATAGACCTGGGAACCGAAGGATTGGGTCAGGAAACACTACAAGATGACACTCCTAAATGAGCGACAGAAAGGTGAGAAGCCAACGATGATAAAGAAGAATGTAAAGGAGCTGAATCAATTCATAATTTTAACATCTCTGGAACTCCGGCAAACAACATGGGATGGAGAAAAGGAGCTTCCCATAACTCCCTGAGGGCAGAAGACAGTAAATGAACACTTTCTAACAAAATGTCTCTACACAACAACAAACCAGCCAGGAAACCAGAGAAAGAATTGAAGAAGACAATCTGACTGAGGTAGATATCAGCAAAATACCCAACTCATCTCCAAATTGCTGAGGGGAACTTTGATAGGCTTCCAAAAAATTTGGATCAAAGATAAATACCTCAGGAGAGTTGTGAGAATAAGAAGAGTCTGAGAAAACTGTGATCTGTTTGAAGTGATTACAGGTTCCAATCTAGATCCCCGCAGGTCCAAAAGGGGGTCCATCTGTTGAAAATCTAAATATACATCCTCCTGGCAGTGATAAGCCAAAGCATGCTGTTCTGATAAATAGCTATCCCATCGCATAATTGAGCAAAGAGAAGGTCTGGTTGGCCTCTGTTGTAGAAACATTAACCTGAGAATTCATACCCATCGGTACATTTTTTTTAAAACTAATTTATAAATATAAAGATATAACCGTAGTAAAGCCAACCACATTCAAAGTCACAATGCAAATTGTGAATAATCACAACACTTCTACTTATAGAAACCCATGCCAAATGCTTTGTCGAGAAAAAGTGATTACATTATCTAAATAAGGTGCTTATATATACTACCTATATAGAGAGCACATTGAAGTTGGTGGAGAATTTTGCAAAATAGAATTTGCCAAGGGCATTCTAGTGGGGTATAAAAGACTGGAGCAAGCATTTTCAATGCTTAGATGGGCAAAGAGTGAAAACCCTGGAGATTGAGAAATAGCTATAGTGTCAGCGGAGGTAAGTATGTTTTGGAACTATGAGTTTACTGACTTGTAAAAAAATCATATTCTAAAGTCTTTATGTTAGAAGCATATATATGGAAGAATTATATTTATTACTGTATCAAGAACATTAAAAATATTTTTAACAAATAACAATTCACAATGACTAATTTTGAATTTTGAGAAAATAAGCTTTTCAATCTTACCAAATAATCATCATAGGAAGCGTTAAGGGTCTGCCTAATCCACTGAAAGGCATCTTCTGAGTTCCATTTAACAATTTTTCTGCTTTCAGATGAGGCATTTCTGGATAGTGAAGTTAGGATGATCAGATAACAATGGAAGCAACATAAACAAGTTAGCAATTATATTATGACCTAAGTAATAAGTAATTTCACCACAAGAATATTTCAATTCACACAAATGAAATAGCTCTTGAAAAACAAGTCCTACATAAAGACTTTCCTTGTGAGTTTAAAATTAATAAATTAAGACAAATAATGTACCAAATGAAACAAGATATATTAGTGAAACTGCTGGACTATAATATTACAAAAATCAGAGTTTTTAAAATGGCAGATGATACATTGTCAGACAGTTCACTCTTATATTGCTGAATGGATATAGATGAAAAAAACGAGAACTAAATACACGATAAAAAAATAAATGTTTTAGTTCTTAACGTTCAAGAACTATTCTATTAAATACAAATTTTTTGTTGTCATTTACTAATTTTTCACTAACAGACAAGCAAGCTCCAGAACAACCAATCAGAAAAATAAAGTCATAGCACAAAATGTTTCCTTTATTGCTAATTGCCTTGAAATCCATCTACATGGACAGGAACAAATTATAAATCAATAAAAGCTTGGAATGAAAATAGCACTGGAAACTGAAATAAACAACTATCAAATTCATCTTTGATGGCCAGAAATCACAAAGGCTAAAAAAAACTATTAAACTGGTGTTGTTTTTACAAGTCTTTTATATGACTGTTTATCATTGTAAACTAAGAGTGAAGAAGCTAAAAGAAAAAAACAGTGAAATATATTAATAATATTATAAGCTCCTTTTTCTGAAAATGTGTACTAAATAAGGCAAACATTTTAAAATCAAATAAAACTTCACAATATCATTATCTACGTGCTTACAAATGCGATACTATTATTTTTTTACACAAAGGACACTGTGATCCATAAGAATAACTTATGACTCAAGAAAATACAACAATCACTTTTTGGTAAATAAGAAATAAAATCTCAAAATTAGCTTAAGTGTTTAAATACATTAGGCATATTAATATACGAGTTATATGTACATAGTTTGGCTTGTTTTAGCACAATCTTAACTTCCCATAAAGAGGAAAACTGGCAAGAAAGTGACCAAAAGTCACTGTCAGAGTTAATATTCAAATAGTATCTCACTGAAATACACAGAAAAAAATTGAATTGTTTGACATCACTCTAACTATAATACTTTCACACACATTACTATTTGAATATTTTGACTGTTTACAGTATTATCTCTAAAAAGAATAGGGGAATTAACTACTTAAAAAGTAAAAAAATGCCAGTATTTCTTCATCATTTACCATATAAATAGCAATAATACTTTACTACTAACTCTAATACTGACTTTTGGTCACTGTCCTTGCTAGTTGTGCTTTTGCTAAAATATAGCTGGATGTCAGAGTCAAAAATAGATTCAGTAAGTTTCAAAACTGGGAGATGCCAAGGAGTAAATAGTGGCACTTATAAAAGTAAGTATCACAAACACATTTATATCATTTGAATGATCAAGGATAAGTAATTGAGCTATTAAGATGATAAGCAATCTATTTCTTTAGAAACTTTTTGTTTTGTTGTTGGAAAAGTGTGGGTAATGCTTCCATTAAGCATGATATCAGGGTCAAAGAACCTTCTGGAAAAAAAAAAAGAGATGGGTGAAGTTATTTACTCTAACACAATTCTTAACTGTGAAAAGGGTAATGCAGGTTATAAAAACTTCTGTAATGGTCAAACAAACACAAGCTTAAACAGCTGAAATAATGAACTGACCTAGATTCGATCATTTTTTTAGAGGCTTCTGCATATTTTGATAGCTGTTTCCGTGCATCTCCAGAAAACTTTGGCCGGACTAACTTTATAGGGATGTCGTTCATGATCTCCCGATACATGGTGTAAGAAACTTCAGGTTGGCAGTTGCTCGGGAGGAGTGGATCATTACCTTTGTCAATCACCTTTCTTTCCATCAGCCACCGATTGAAGGATTCTTTTGGTGCATCAATACCTGCATATTTATTTTAGATTTAATATAGTATGAAAAGGAATTACACAAGTTTTTCTAGAAAGAAAAAAAAACTAACATTTTTGACATTCAAAATCAGGAAACAGGAATACAATCCACCAGTGTTACATTGAATTACCAAGAACAAAGTTAACCTCACAAAAAATTCATTACTGTATTTCAAACACAAGTTCATACTTTATCTACCCTGCAAAATGATAGAGCATTTCCATGCTGTGTTCATACAAATATTTCTTAGAATCAGTACAACACAATACTTTCTATTACAACTAACTGTAATTACCTAAGTTATAGGCTGCTGAAAAAACAGGTATGAATATATGCCACGAAGTAAACTTTAGAAGTTGTGAAAATAAAATTATTAAGATGACAAAAAGAAGTATATAATTTTATGAGAAAATTACCTATCTTATTGCAACTAAAATTCAAAACTTGGTGTAACATTTTTATTTAGTTTGAACTATAAATACTATTCCAAATTATGTTGATAAAGTTAAAGTGAACACATATCCATAGATAATAATCATTTCACTTTTTCACAAAACAATACACGTGTAATGACAGCCAAAATAACACACATTAACTCTTTCATTGTCACTTTATAGACATACACCTTGCCCAGTGCTAGATTTGTTTTAGATATACAATAAAAACCAAAAAGACATGTTTTAATAAGACATCACTTAGCTTAAAACTGGTAAACTTTAGTATGATTACCCTTACTTCATGGTAATACAAAACTCGAAACTCATATGTGGATAATATCACACTTTTCAGCGCTAGAAAAATGGTTATATAGCATGGAGCATGCAGAGATGGGATCTCAAGACCCAGTCTTTGTCTCAACATTGTCTCTGCAAACTTCACACACTGATTTTATTTGTAAAGAGTAATGATTTTTACAACAACATGATTTTTTTTTCATGGCTAATGTTCTGGATCTAAACAAAATTTACCTTAGGCAATAATATCACTGATGCTATTTTGAAAGAAGCAGATTATTTTCCTGAAGCATAACCATATGAAAGGGTAGCTAGCAGCACTGTTGTATAATAGACTGATCAAAAGAAAGACACTTAGTCTCCACAAAAAACATTTGTACCATTCTTCTTGCATCACATGCAAATCACTATAAACAATCTTAAGAAACCAGTGTTCTAGGCTGAGTACTGATTCCTTGAGATTTTTATAGGCTCAACAATCTCAAGGAACCAGTACTCAGCCTACAACAATCTCAAGAAACCAGTACTCAGCCTACAACAATCTTTTCTCATTTCCTGGGTTTGGAAATGATTTCAATACTATTAGGACAACAAAATCCATGGAGAAGTTTGAAAGAAAATGCCATCCTTTCTAAACCTCGTTCATTGTACGAGAAGATATTCTGCATCACTCCAACATCAGTGGTAGTACAAATGGGGTAGATTGTTGATGAGACTACAGTGAACAAAAATGTCACCAAGATTTCTCTCATCTTTATTTTTTTTACAAAGCAACAACCATTGCAAAGAAAGTTATCATTCTTGATAATGTGCAAACAGATATCAAAACTAACAAAATAATGGTAGTGATTTAAACTGAATGACATAAGTAGATATTTAACATGCTATTAGATGTGTATATCACATTTAATTAATCATTATTGATAATTAACATTTAACAACAATTAAATCCATTTGAATAGCAATAAGAATCCTGTTATTAGTACATGTTTGTTGTGCATAGATCTTAAGTCATCTGTTAGTGTTGAAATTACCTTTTCTTATTGACTGAATTATCCAAATAGAAATGTATCAACTGCACATCCTTATCAAAAATCTATTTAATTCTGTCCCCCAGTATATCAGCAGTGAGTCTGCAGATTTACAATGCCAGAAACAAGGTTTTCATACCTGTAGTGGACAGTGCACAGATAGTCCATTTTGTAACTTTGTGTCTAACAACAACCAAACAAAACAAAAACTTGCTGAATATTAACTGAATGTCAATTAAAAATATAATTCCTTTTCAGTTGCATTTTATTACTTCAACCTCAGTGAAAACGGTTTAATTGTTGTTAAATGTAATTGCATGTCAACTGAATATCTATGCTGTACAATTTAAAGCATTACCAAAATAACTGTTCTACATTTCTTTGTGGAGTGTATTACTGAATGGACTGATTGGAACTATAACAAAGTTAACAAAAATCTTATAGATCTTAAAATTATTATTTTGGTTGATTATATTGAAATAAGTAGCTTATTAGTTTTTATTGGGCAATGTACAATCACGTACGCCAACTGGCAGATATATTTAAAGAAATAACTAGCAATGTTTTAACACCACTGTGGCAGACTAAAACCAATCAAAGAAAATTAATAACCAACCACTTCCACAAGATGGAAATGTGAGGTACCCACACTGGTCTTCGATGAGTGTGAAAGGCTATGTACATCCTTTTACAGGATATATGCTGCAACAAGGTCTGTTCATAGGGCATGTGACAAGGGTACATGCTACTACAAGGTGAGCTAATGAGATAAATACCACAGTCACAGCTGATGCCTCCATGTGGACACTGTCCAGGAAAGGAAAAGTGAAGCATCTACTCTGCTTGTGGACTTGCAAAAACAATTCCAATACTTTGCAGCAAAGCAAAGACAACAGAGCTGTCAGTCCCACCCTATACTCAGCAGGTGCTTGCCAACCCAAAATATCAACACTCAAAATATCGGCAAAGTAAGCAAGGGTATTGTAACAAATTTATTATTATATGTTTATTTTAATATCAACATTTGTTTAAATTAAGTTTATATTTAGAAATATGCACAGCTTATAGTGTGAAATATGTATTGCGAAACTCCCGCCTATTCTCTAAAGTTGTGGAAGATTCTCTAGTGTAAAAATCAATAACATATGTATATACGTAAATGCTTGTGTTAGCATCAGTACTGTTACTAAAAACTGAAATTTCGAGAAACTCTCCACACAGCTATAAATATAACCAACATGATGCGCCAAAAAAGTCAGTGTGTTATAAACTTCAGAAGCTATAACTGTGATTGTTATAATGCTTATCAGTCAGAAAACTTCAGATATTTGACCAGGAGCATTTACAAAGTCCGAACATTACAAATAATTTAATTTCAGTGGATTCTCATCGAACATTAATATTTTTTATGAAAACATTATATAACTTCATCATGGAAAACTCGGCATGTGTGGCTAGTGAATAACGAAGGACAAAGCTAACTAGCTCCCTGTTCAGTGAATTATACCTACATCAACTCGTAATTAACTTGCTCATTGTGAACCCTCGATAAGATATCGAAGAAGTTCCAGACTAGAAAGAAGGCTTTATATTGCTTGTAAATTTGTGAAACTTTTGTTTATAAATCATTGTTTGTAATAACTATTTGTAATAACTGTTATTGTAAATTGTATTGTTGTGTGTATATTAAAACGTATTTGTGTTAAAAAAAAGGAAAATGTGTATCAATCTTGTTGGCAAATATCATAAACTGACTATATATCAGCTTTTACTTAACTGCTAAATCCAAAGTACAATTTAAATTTAAATTTATCAGTTAACTCAGTTTCAGACCAATCAAAATTGTAATACATAACAGTATCAATACCAGTCTTCAGATCAGCAGGTCTGCAATGACCAGAAACAAGTAGTAGATGCTGTGGCAAATGCTCTAGAAAACTGACACAGCTCAAGTGGGGCTTGACCACCAGCTTGGGAGAGTATAGCAGACAGCTTGATTAAAAAGTTCTGTCAGGGATAGGTATATGTTGGTAAGTGTGGAAGAGTGAGAGGTTGAATCTGTGGTAGACACAGGAGAAGTAAGAACTACAATGGACCTCTCTCAATCTTTCAAGGCCAGTGAATACCAACTTTGTTCTGGTGAATGGTGACACAGTGGACATTAAGTGTGGGATAGACCTACAGCTCAGTCTAGGAGGTGTTGTCCATAGAATCAAGGTGGTCATTTCCGACCTCAGGTCTGGAATTGGCATCCTTGGAGTGGATATTCAGTGGATTTCATCAGTCGGTTTTGTCTGTGCAACAGGTGAGCTGGTGTTTGATGGCAGAGTCATCCACTGGCACTCAGAGAAAGCCAAAGAATAATGGACTGCATGATATATAGAGAAAGTCACAGAATCTTTATGTACACAAGTGGTGTTCCATGGTTTAATTTCTCTTCATAAAGCATGCAGCCCTAGCTTGGGCAGTGATTTGCCAGACAAAGGATAAAGTCCCATAGTTGCTTTGTAATTATGGACTATCAGCTATCCAGCTGGACACTGGAACAATCACAGGTACAGTAAGAAAAGTGGAAGTAACCAAAGCTAGCAGTCACACTAGGGGTGCATTCATTGTTCTGTTGATCCTGAATAATGAGACTGGGGAATACAGTGGATCACTGTTCATGATCCATAGGTCGTATAGAGACCACTGAAGGGGTCACATGTGTGCTCATCTCAAATGAATGAGGGATTTGAGTGATGTCCTCAAAATAGAAAGAACCATCCATGCATTGGGAGAAGGAGATGTGATTAAGAGTCGGACTGCCTGTTCTATAGCGTGGAGTCAGATGGGAGTTGACTGAGCATGACTGAGATTCATGTTGAAAAAGACACACAGATGGATATATTGTTTTGGAGTGAGAATAAATTTCTTGGGTCTGATAATAAAGCCTGCCTTGTTTATTTCTGAAAGTAGAATCTGGGTGTGATGTTCTACCAACTGATGAGATGGTGCCAGCAGTAACCAGTTGTCTGTGTAATTGTGTGAACAGGTCTAGGGATTGGAGGTAAGGAGAAAGAGATTGTACGATGTGGTAGAAAACATATGGTTCTTATACTAATCCGAAGGATAGAGCACTGAACTACTGCACCTGACTTTTGTGCACAAAATGCAGGTAATGGCAGGAACTTCGCTATGCGAACATGTAGATAGGCATCCATAACATCAAACTTGGTTATCCAGAGTCCTAGTGAAAAATGCTGATGCAGAGTGAAGAATGACTCCATCATGAACCTTGGAGGGTCTAGAAATTGACTGAGACAAGAAATTTCAATGACTGGATGCCAATCTTCCATCTTTTTTTTGGGCACAACAAACAGACAGGAATAAAACCCAGGGTGAAATAGGACGACTCTCTCCACTTAATGGATATGAGCAGAATCTATTCTGGGTACCAATGAACAGAGAGGCAGAACTATAAACCCCTTGTAGGAGCCAAGAAGCCAATGACGACAAGGATCAATCCCGACAGGTAACATCAGCCCTTGATTCCAAAGGATCTAGCATAGTCGCAAAAATCAATGGTCAGAAAAAAGCAAGCCTCACGTAACTCACAGAGGATGGAAGCTGGTAGACGAATGCCCTCCGACAACACATCTCTACTCAACAAATCCCAACAACATACCTGCCAAGAGACTAGGGAAAGTGTAGAAACTGACAATCAAACCAGGGTACATGCCAACTATGGTCCTAACTCACCAAATTGATGTGGAGATCATTCTCAGAACTAGGTACCATGAAGAATGCTCAAAATATTTCCAATGGTCATAGTGCAGAGAAACCCGTCCATGAAAGTGTTGTTGAGAAAAAGTAATAAAATTATGTGAATGAGATGCTTATATACAGCACCAGGATAGAGGGCACATTAACATAAGTGGAGAGTGTCATGAGACAGATATCGCTAAAGGCAATTAAGTGAGGAATAAAAGACTGGAGCAAGTGAGAAAAAATCAGACCAATGCTTAGATGGGCAAAGGAAGGGAACCCTAGCAGTCGAGTAATAGCTGTAGTGTGAAAGGAGGTACGTTTTGGAAACATTAATAACGAGACCTCTAAATGTCACGCTAACAAGTTACTATTAATTTATGTGCAAAAGATAAGTTGCATCAAGAGAATGGAAACATTAATCAATACACAGAATGAACAAAAAAATTTCATTGAATCAACTCCTACCTTCTCGAGAATGGCACATTTCTTTATACTGCTGACGGAGTTTTGCAACTAAAGATGCTCTGAACTGCTCTACTTCTGGATGAGGGGGAGGTAGGAGTGAAGGGGTTCGATCCCAGATTATTACATTGGTTGGAATTTCTAGATCCCATGGGCCACTAGAGAAAGAGGAATACTGATTTGTGACAAATATTGAAAAATTGTCCTTTCAATGATAGTTTTGCAAGAAACCCAAGCACAATTTATTTTAATAGCAAAATAAAATTTAAGAAATAATCTAATAACAAGAATTTTTTACAATGAATTTTGGCAAACAACATAATAATAGTTTTACACCTATTAACTTCTTTAACATCCCACCACTTCTTATACTAGTCAAGGAGTCAGCAACCCAAATAACAAGATCCATTTTTTTCAAAATTAATAAAAATGCAAGATTCTGAAAACCACAACGCATGTAACCCCTATTTCAATAATTGGACAACAAGAGGGTTGAAGAGCCAAAGGTTGCTGACCTCCCCTACTAGACAGAGCTACATGAAACACTTCTGCACCTACAAAATTGAAAGAAACTGAAGTACCAAGACTAATTAATTAAATTAATAATTCCAAAACTTTGAAAATGAAAAACATAGATGTGATTTTAATTAATAATAAGTCTGTTAATACATTCTTAGAGTTTTACTTCAACTAACTCTGAAACTTAAGTATCTAGTATCACACCTTATTACTTCAGAATATCAAAAAAACTTTCAATAACTATACTGTCTTAGCTCCAAAACATTTTGAGCATCTGAATCTCATCAACCCATAATATTAATCCTTCTAGTGACAATAATTTATGAGTTTTTAAATTTATCCTCCTTGATCAATTTATCTAAAACAGGAATCATAACATGAGTACTTCACAGAATTCTTCTGGCGTGTCTAAATTCACAATTTTCCTGTAGTAAAGATAACAAAATAGAAAACTGTGTTTCATTTACTAAGGGCTTAATATTAGCCTCCTTATAACAAGTAGTAGCTAATCTATTTTAATATCATAATGCCTATAGTGTCTGAGCCAGCATTTTTTGAGTATTTCATCAACATTTAAACATTTGGACAGTGAAGTTCTTCAACATGCTAAATCTGTAAAAAAATCTTATAAATTCTGATACAAAGAAGGACTTCTAGCACTTCTTAAGTAGGAATTTGTACATAAGTGTACACATTAGACTACTAACAACAATATAAAACGTTTGTTGGGGACTGCTGTCTCTTCTGCTACTGATGCCCGTCGTTTTTCTCCTGCTCTCTGTGGCAATAGAGGCACTTGGCTTGGTGGAAAGACAGGAGTCTGAGGTGTTGTTGGGGTCTGAATCTGAATGCCAAGTGGGTCAGTAATGGGGTCAAACTACAAACAAGGATTAAATATTAGTATCTGATGTTGATCAAGAAAAGCTAATGCTACTATATAAATTGTACTATATAAAATGTGCACATCAATTAAACCAACCAAGTCTAATAAAATACAATTTATTTCAAACCATCAATGATAAACATTTAACTGATATAAATACACAACAAAAAAACAGTTCTTTTAAAATGTACTCTTCCTTCATATTTGGGAAGAAATCATGAATTTGCAAAAACTTAAAGTTCATAAGATTGTAAATTTTTTATTTTGATCCCAAAAACTTCACACACCTGTGTTGAATTTACTTTTTCCAGCTGAGGCAATTCCCACAAAGATTCATTTGTTAGCTTGTTAAAGAAATATGGTCGCCCTTCTCGCCTACTCCAGAAACGTCTCCAGCCAGCATCCAAAAGCTCCTGGGGCAAGTCATGCACAGGGTCAGGTGAACCCATCTTTGGTGGAGACATAACTGGTGTTGACATTTGAAGCAATGGCTGAGACACAGTACCAACAGGATTGTTAGTTGTTGGTAACTTATGGGTTACTGGTGAATTCAGTCCTATAATATAAGACAAAAAACATTTTTAACCATCATAGAAATGTTCCAAAATATTCTTTGATACTTATATATTTTTAAAACATTCAAGGAAAAAGAAAATATTAAATCATCCTATACACACTATGTTGCTGCGTAAGTGCTCTTTATTTTTTTGTTTACTAGGAGCACATCTTAAGTTCAGTAACAAAAAAAATACCTTGACAAATCTTTATGTAGTGGGTTTTGGTGATTTTTAAATAATGAAAATAACAAAAAAATTCACACACCATTGGATTCCACAGTCACATTTATAGATTTATGCTGCAAGTTCAATTATGTAATTAATAATTAGTGAAAAACAATTAATAATCATACCTGTAAATTGACCTTTTGCTCCACGCTACCTTTCCATTGGAATAATGTTAACAAAATGTCAGTGATTGATATCAAGTTACCTTTTTACCTGGCAACCTGATACTGCATGACACCCATGTCAAGCAGTGATAAAATGTTGTCCTAATACAGTCCATCAATTTCAAACTCAAAGATGTGGATTCATATTATATGGATAAATGAAATGAAAATTGTCAACAATCAAATATTAAAAATGATGTATGAGCGTACCTATGAAATAGGAGAGATTTTGTAAACACACTGTTTGTAAACTTGAAATATCGTGATTGACAGATATGTATCAGTAGTAACCTCCACCTGTTCTACATCATGTCATGATGTAATTGATACATCATTGATAACATTTTATCACAGACTATTGTAGCACATGTTCTTTCACTCTAGCCACACCCACTGATATAACATATAGCAAACCATTTTCAAGACAACATACTGTCTGTTTATGCCCTATGATATGACGCAAAGCAACTTGTTGCCAAGTTAATGTGTAGTCTATTTACATTAATTATTTTTGACATTCTGATGGTTCGACTTCAGCAAATATATCTATGTATTGGTTTATACATCAAAGTTTATTGTATGGCTTTGTTTCTACAAATTCAATGGCTAAACAGAATTTTAAATGGTTTTAAAGCTTTGTTTGTGTATTTTCAAATACTAAAGGCTTCTGGATCCAATAAAACTGGCCAGACCAAAGTAGGGCATGAAGAGTGCTATTGTTTGATGTACACTGATCTTTACTGGTCCAGCCAATTTTAACATTTGCTCACTGAAAAATGCACAGTACGGGTTTGGCGATCAAGATCTTTTAAAGCCAATTTACAACTAGTGTAGAGTACATTTGCCTTGAAATAAATCATGCAAATTCAGTGTGTATTAGTACTGTAGATGTTTTCATTTGTTTTTAGTGTACAATAATTAGTATTTTGTTTATTTGAGACTTGTATATTCGTAACTGAGATTTCTCATTCATACACTTCCATGGCCAGGAACTATAATTCTCTGGGACCCCTACTTTAAATCACATGGCACAGGCTCTACCAATATCTAGTGTGAAACATCTTTCACATAACACATGATCATCAATTGAACATGACCTACTTGCATAAACAAGGTGGTAGCAAACCTTTTGAGATTGGAGTAATTTGGTTGTCGCACTACTATCTTCAAATCAGAAAAGAAACATTGAAGTGAAACTTAAATGCAACAGCATATAACTTTCTTCTGTAGTGTAGCCAGTTTGATTATATATGTAGTACTTTTGCTACCTAAGTTGACAAAATCCATGGAGTGCATCTATGCCCTCCTGGCATGGTCATCAGACAACAGTGTGCTACTCTTAACAGACTCTATTAGACTACAGATATAAATTGCAGTTATTTTACATAAAGGGACCTGAGAAGACATCTTAAAAAAAAAAGGATTAAAATGATTTCATGTAAATAATCCCAGCTACTAACTTTTGTATCATAAATTCATACTTAACAGTTAAAACTAAATTAAATTTGGCATTGTACTATCAACTTCCCAAAGTTCATATTCTTAATGCATCTTGTACTTTTCCAAAGAAAAATGATGATATGAGAAGAATTCCTCCTTAAAAGAAACTAACAATTATACATTTTATTATTTTGAACTTATAATATTAACAAATCTTTGGAGCTACTCAAAATTGTTGAACTTTATCACTTACAACCTTAATAAAAATACACATGGTTTGTAGAAATTCTCTACCTGCAGTATGAATAAGGTCTTCTGAAGATCTACCATTCCAACTAGAAGTTTCTTGACCATGCTCTTCTTCAGTCATTTTGTTGGAAGGATTATGAGAAAGACTTTCCTCCAAGGATACGTACTGAGCTAAAGGTGTTTCTGTCATTCTTGCTTTTTGTTTCTATTCCACTGGTGGTGTCATCTATCAACATAGAAATGTAAATCACATAAAATATTTTTTTCATATAAATGTGAATTAAAGACGTTTTTACAAAACAAAATAAAAATCTTACTTTTAAATACATTAATTCATTTTTGATTTAGAATTGTGAATGACTGCCTTATAATGGCTGTACATACTATTTTGATCTTGATAGCTATTTTTAATTACATTGCATGAAATTTCAAAAACATATCAACAGCCAACAGTTTCATAAATCCCACCTATATATGTAAAACCAAAACAATCTTATCATATCAACAATTACACGAATTGCATCATTTAGTTAAGCTCTAGATAATGTTTCTAATGTATATGAATTAATAATTTTCAAAACACTCTAAAACTCATACATGCTTAAGCTTTTTAGTATCATGAAATTGGTTGCAAGTTAAAAATCACCCATGAGACCTAAAATGTTTTAAAGATAAAGAAGGCCTTTTTTTTTAAATAATTTTTACAATAAAATTTTAGGAAAGTATTTATCTTTGAATGTCTAATCTGTCAGAAAGGTAACATATAAATCTATTTATTGCACCTTTATAAAAATTCTAAAAGCTAAAACACTACTTCAATGTTAAGTCTTTAACTTAAAAGTTTAAGACTTTGTGCAAGCAGTAAAAGCTTACAAAACTATAAACTGGCATCTATACTAATAGTTTATTGTTAAACAACAGTTGTTGTGTGATATAATAATTTCCATCAATTAATAAAATTATAACAATACAGACAGTTTCCAATGCAGCAATTATAAGGACTGTTTTGTAAAACATTCATATTACATCTTAAATGTGTTGTCTTGTGATTGTGAACACAATTTATTTCCTTAAGGAAATCATTGAGGTATTCTGAATTTGCTGAAATGGGATAACTAATTTAATGAAAGAAAGCTTAAACATATTGACACTGAAACTTGTGTAAAGCTAAATTGTTACATATAATATATATATTTTAATGTGGGCAAGTGCATTCAATTCATTTCTTCACTTGTAAATTCCAGTTTATCTCATAGTATTACATTTGGACACTTTTGATCTGAAATGCACTGAGTTTATTTTGGATAAATTTTGTGATATTCTGTATTTTTCTCGGTTTTTATAAATATGTGATACTACTAATACTAGTTCTCAGTAGTACTAGTTTTAACTTTTAATATATAACTTTTGTGACAATGCCAAGCTTTGTGTCAAGTTTATTGCAAAAATTTTTCAGTTCTTCAAAAACTAAGTAAAAACACTTCAAGGTGATAAAAATAAGTTTAATTACCGCTTAACTAAGATCAATACCATTTTTACCGAAGTAGTTAAGTTATTTACAGATGTATAATTTTATACTACTTCTCCTGAAGTTTCAGATGAAAACAAACTCGGAAACACGTGTAGAACGTCAAACGTTTTTCTAATTTTTCCAAACACTCAGGCTGAATTAAAAAATAAAATTTTACATGTTCATATATAAACACTCGATCAATTGAAATGCACATAAATTCACTGCCAAGATAAGGCTATAACGCGATTAAACCATAAATTCAAGCAGTAAAATTGCAACACCCTAACCAAAACGACGCCATTTGCCTCTCTCAACAGACACGTAAGTCACGTGACCATAGATACGTCCTTTACCATCCCTCCCCACGTTCTGAATTTTGTACTACAAATATTTTGTAAGCAAAATTATCATTAAATTATGAAAAATGAAGGATATTAGTCTATATATTCTCATATTTATTTAAATATTTTTATTTATTTCTAAAGTAAAGAATTTCATTTCGTCTTTGATGAAGCTAGAACTGGATTGGTTTAAAATATAAGTTTCTTACAAATTTTAAGTAAATATGTAAAACTATTTTTTATAATAATATATTAAAAATTAACAAAGGACATTTAAGTTTTATCCAGTAACATATTTTGTTTCAGTTTTGGGTTTAGTCAATATTGAAGCATCATCTAAGCATTTTCTTGTAATATAGGTAGTGGTACTATTACTACTACTCAAAGGGATTATCAGCTGTGTAGATATGTTAGTGCGAGTAATAAACTAAAAGTTGAAAATTAAACTTAAGTCGTTCTGGCAAGTGCAACTGCGTAGTTTCGAAATCTGATGTTTGATTTACTGGATTTTATTTCTCACGCTGTACTGGATAGGCTTTATATAGGTCTGTATGGGATTAACTGTATCTAGAACTGATAGTAATAGAACTAGAAGAATGTCAGGAAGGGCTAGTGTGAATAGTGACGTTCTTGACCAAGATTCGAACAGTGAGAGTGAGACAGATCCTGACATCGCAACGATACTACAATACCTCATACGAAGGTATCTCAATCGCAGAAGAAGGTAGCCAGTGACCATAACATCGCTGTTTGGAGCTTAGAATAAAAAAATAAATCCAATGCTAAGGACTCTTACTCTTAGAAGTTAGACTTAAAGTCAAATAACTACCATTTTTAAAGCTATTATTATATTTATTAGAAAAATAGGTTTGGTAATTCAATAATTGATTATTTGATATTTAAAATGTCACCATTCTCTGCTTGTAGTTCTTCAGCTTATACTTGTAGCTATAGCAATTGTCCTTTTAAAACCACTGGTGTATTTTACACAAAATTCTTAGTTTATTATATGGTAAATTTTGTTTCAGCATATTTCAGACTTTTAAATGTTTAACTTATGGTATCTTAATACAAAAACACAGTGCTAAAAATTGGCTACAAATACCAATTCATAGTTCTATTCATTATACTTTACTTAATTGATTGACAATTTGATAGTTGATATGTTTTAAACTACTGTAAAGATAATGTTACAGATAACCAAGAGCCATTTAGTTTTTAAGACTGTCCCTGTTGTTCACTCACGTGTGAGAAAAAGTAAAAATTTAAATCCACTCTTTATTTTTCTGGAAATTATTATTCCCTCCCTTATACTCCCATAATTAAATTTAATGTGCTAGTCTTCACTACAGAAAGATTGAAAAGTAGTTTTATTAAATTGCGACTACTTCGAACTAGTTAATTACAAAGTACATTCTACCAGTTTTTAAAACAATTACAAAACAGAGAAGAGAACGCGATAATCTGTTTCTTACACACAAGTTACAGAAAAGAAAAAGGTTTTAAATTCTTATTTTATGATGCAACTAGCAGAGTACCTGATGTTGCTCAGATGATTTAGTTATTTATATACGTGCTAATTTATTTGTCTACTGTAAATCTTCTTTGTACACAATATTTTTTTGTCTTGCTGTCTGGAGCAAAAAAAAGAGAGAATCTTCAATAATAAAAGCCCTTTTGATCACACGTTACCCAAAAAAGCCAGCCTTTTCAATTTGAGACCAATTAGTCGTCATGTTTACAAAAATTGCTATATTGGTCACTTTGGCCTCAAAACAGCCTCTGAGGCCACAGCCACATAGCTTATGTTACTTTTCATACAAAGTTGCATATGTACCCTGAGTTTGTAACTATAAAGATGTGACCGTGCATAAGGAACAGACCCACAGAAAGAGAAAGATAGAGAGAAAACAGTGCTTATATACATAGATAATAGATGTACAAGTTCTAGTTTTGGGGTTTTGAAATACTATAATTTGAAGCTTTTTATTTAACAATATATTTACTATAGAGACATGCTTATGCCAATTATGGTACGTTAGGACAGTAGTTCCCAAACAGTAAGTTGGAGTTGCAAAAATATGATTATAATTAGGCCTACTTTGGATTAAAAAGCTTTGTAAAGTGCCCTGTGAATATGTTGGTTGCTATGGTTGCATGAATTTTTGTCTCAAAATGTAATCACATAGAAAAAAATATGGGAAAAACTTTGTTAGAAAGTATTTTTAGAGAAAGCATTTTATTTCTTTTAAAAACTTTCAATTTCTCTTTGATCTTTGGAAACACAAACCTAGAAGGTTTGTATCACATAACATGCACCTGCATTCAACAGTGCTATGTGTAATGAATACATTGAGCTGGTTATTTATCTGCTTAAGTGACAGTAGGAATAAAATCAATTATTTACACTACTGCCAATACATCATAAATATATTCAAGTATCTTAATATTTTTGTATCAATCATAATTAAAGAGTTAAAAAATGTTATTTCTTCTGTATGTTGTTTAAATTTGTTTAAACCATATTATGTTTGGGTAGTATAATTAAAAGGTTGCAAATACAAACATTAGGAATTATGGGTTTAAACTATACAAGCCCAGGTGTAACTTGTTTTGCAAAATTATTGGGAAATGGTGTGCAATATGATGTGGTGTGTGCTTTTAATTTGAATATTTTTAAACATTTGTTGGTTAGGTTCAATGATGAAAGTAATGATAGGCTAAAGTTAAGTTAGATTAATTTGTGTTTGTATATGAATAATTGTTCACCTGAATGGATTCCATGATCTTCTATTACCATGCTTCTTAATTTTTATGAATTTCAAAATATTACTTTGTAAAAACATTAACGATTTACAAGAAACGCTTCAAAACAAACCTCTTGGAGCAGGCCTCGACAAATATTTTCAGATCTAGGAGCCAGGTCTGATATATATATATAAGTTATAGAATATATATTTGTAGTCATTTTTGTGGTTCTGGTACGAGACATACTAAAAAAGAAGGGGGTTCATTATTAAACTTTATTACATAACATATATTAAAGTTAAACTTCAATACAAGCAGGTTGTTTCTGAATAAGTCTCATCTACTCATCACTACAACACTGTACAACAATAAGCAAAGGCCTTTTTGTGTGCCTTACCTAACTTCACTACTGTTTGTATGAGTGCTTACTAACAATCACATGATAACAACAACCACTTGATAGTATTGCCTGAACTAACTGCTTTTGGTCCTGTCTGAGTCTAAACATGCACACTGATTGGTTAAATTGAGAGAAAGAAGAAAAATAAAATGGCAAGAAATTAGTAACTTGTTGTGCAATTGCAGTGTTGAATCCGCCATTAAAATTTTAGATTTTGGACTCAAAGAATGTGAAAATAGTTCCAGACTTCCAAAAGTCCAGAATTGTTCCAGATTCAGGTTCCCTTTAGCACATTCCTATGCACGAATAAAATGTGAGAAAATACTGGGCACCATGTTGAAATTTTTAGTCACCATTGCAACCTGGGATTTGTTGAAGTCTCCCTCAGAGACTTCTTGCTGGGGGAAAGTTCTGATACTATTGAAAGTGTTACTTTAAACTAAAACAACTTTGGTAGTTCTAAAGAGTAGACCACAATGTGCTGAAAGAATTTTTCCTCACTGCTGTGTTATAACTTCTGCAGTAGATTTGTTAGGCAAAAAATAGTCTAATTGAGAACAGGAGCACCACAGTGAAACAAAACATTTTTAATCTTTGGATGTTTTAGACTTTACACATTCCACAATCAGCAGTGTGAAATGTTTTTGTGTAACATATATATGTATAAAACAAACGGTACAAGTTTTAATATGAAAAAAAAAATGTACACAATATACAGAGGGTAAAAAAAATATGTAAATTTTACAAAGGTTATGAATGCAATATGAAAAAAAGGAGAGCTGAAAGGAACTGAGATTATTGTTTATACTTGTATATTTGTTTGAGATGCATAACTTTCTTTGACCAGAAGCTTGCAGTTTGATGAAATGTCTGAAGGTTAAACAAGTTATTTTGTTCTACTGTTGTGATCCTGTTTTTAATTATATTGTGTAGAAAGAGTTTTAATATTGAGGAATGCGAGTAATGTAATTAAAGGGAAAATAAAAGTTTTTATCTTGGTAGGTAATAACTTTCAAATTTAAACTTTAGAAACCTAGCTGCAGATGTATTCTTTAGCAAAATTGTTTTTTTCAATAGTTATAAATTGGAAGAATAGCTCACTTGACATGTGGATGTACACACCATTTTCATTTTGTTCTTAAAAGTTTATTCTTTAGGTTTGTGGGTATGAAGGGTTAAAGTTAATTGAGGTTTTATCTTTTGGTTGCTTGTTTGTCTTGGAAAGGGTGTGTTCTTGAGGAGCCAAATCACCTTCAATCACTATTTTTAATTATATATTTTTATTATAATTATTGGTTTCTTTTGATCTATTCCTGTGTCTTTAAATTTGTGCAGTCAAAATTGTCAATGTAGAGTACTGTACTTGTATAGATACTTTATTTATGCTGTGTACATGTGCACTAGTTGTATTTTTGTTATGAAGATTGATATGCATATATTTCTTATTGGAATCCAACAGTAAATATGTTTGTTAAATGTTTCATTTTACATACAAGGTACATTTGTATTACTTGTTTCATAGTGTGTACATGATGCTTATAAGATCGGTTGTTTTACATACAATAACATTTACATATTTGTGTTTTAGTGGCCAAATTAGGGTTATTGGATCAGAAAGTGATAGCCTTTCAGGAGATTACTCTGATGAAGATAGTTTTCTTCCAAATACTCCCCCAAGAGGTCAGTTTCGTTGCTTGTGCTGTTCTGTGTGTAATAGACTATGAAGAAATAATGAAGTGTCAATTCCAAATATATTGATGGGAATATCTAGAAAGTAAATTACAAAAATAATTATTTGTCATATCATAGATATTGTAACATATATACAAGTTAGCCATACTCCTGTTAGTAGAAACCTTAGTGGTGAAGACCTTTTGAACTTGATCAAGTGCCAGTACTGGGTATTTGTTACATATGAATTAGACAGCTTATTAAAACCATGAAGTACAAAAATTGGTCTCTCACTACAATCATTGTTATGGTAAGTGCATGCACATAGGCTTATTTGAATGTTATTGTAAACTTAGAAATTTTAGACTTTGTGAAGTTCAATAGGAATTTCCAATGTAAGCATTTAAACTAAAGAGTAACTACAACTGATAAAATGTTTTTTCTCTGGTTTCTTTATGACAGTATTCTCAATTCCAGTCTAATTAAACAGTTTAATTGGATTTCTTTAGTAATGTGTAACTTTAGATTGTTTTAATGTCAATTTCATATTCAACACCCAAGTTTCATTTTTTTTATATAACATAGATAGCATTATGAAGATATTATAAAAGGATTATAACATAATTTACCAGGATATACTTTCCTTAGTGTCAACTAGAGAAATCAGATTTTGGCAAAATTCATAGTCCAAGATAACTAGCCACTCTACACAGAAATTTGTTGTTGTTTTTTTTATATAAATGAAACATTATTTCTTAGAAAGTCCTATATTGGTGGTAGAAGTTTGATAAGAAAAATATTATTTATAACCTTTATTACAGTAGCTTGTGTCTCAAGTTAAATATACCTGAATACTTAAAAGGGGTAATTGATGTTTGATATAGAAATTGGTGCTCTCTGCTTCTGGTGTTGTGGTATTGTTAATAATAATAATAAAAAATTACCATAATAAAATTTTTACTTTTTATAGTACATACTGTATTTGTTTTTTATGCTGTGGGTAGACAAAGCATTGTCAAGTTTTAGTGTCTAGAAATTATTTCAAAATCTTAGAACCTAAAAGAAATTAACCAGTATGGATTTTTTTTCTTCCAGCTGACCCAAACCCAGACACATCATGCATCCAGGTGAGTTGAGAAAAAAGAAGTATGTGAATGGCAGAAGGCTAGTTGGGTCATCAAGGACTCCCATTGTCCATCCAAGAAATCAAAACTATATACTCTTAATCACATTTGATATAACAATGAAAATATCCATACGCACTTTCAATAAGCCATTTCATGAATCAATCATATTAATGCTGTTATGGAACAAAAATATTCTTAACAGAAAGGGTATCCAACTGAAGATTTAGTGCTACTAATTAAACCTATCGCCAAGGGTATCCTTTACTGAGCCTGACACAAGGTTTTAGTGTCTTACATTCAAAATTTTATTAAACTACTTTTTGCTTATGTTATACCAATTAGAATAGTATAAAATCTTAGCTAATAATCCATATTTTAGTAGTATACAAGTTTAAGTTCTTAATTCTAAAAGGAAATATTTTTAAAAATCCTGAATTTTCAGCAGTGTGACCCATATGACACATTTTGTCTTAGCATGTCATCATCCCTATTTTATCCATCACCCCTCGAAAATGTATAAAATTAAACGTAAAATACTCTCTATAAAATTGTTATTGCTCAAACAAACCATAATTTTTATAGCCTTCAATTTTGTTTTATCTCAGAGCTATCAAATAAAAAATTAGACCCCTCCTGCCACATTCTCTTTTCACAATTTGTTGATAGTTCTCTCTTACATTTCATTATATATCACCTATAACCAACAGAAAGTCAAGGTTTTCATCTATCAAATGATGTATAATGTTGTGTTCTGAACAGTTAGAAGTTAATTTCTTTCAGAGTAGCAACATCATTTCCGTGGTAAAATTAATGTCTAGCTTGGATGAATTTGTAACGGCTCTTGTCATATAGTTAGAAAGCCAGGAAAATTATGAGAAGTAAGGCAATTTGTTAGTAGTCTACATTCTTTAGTGCATTATTTAATTAAATACAAATTAAGTGCATTACTATTAGTACTATAAATAAAGTAGGCTTAACTGTCATCGACAATCGAGAGGAAGAAAAAAGAAGATTTGATAAGTACTGTATTTCTTTTTTATATTTATTCTTTATTTATTATTATAAAAGTATATACAGATCTTTTTAAGTTGTTTAAGACTAGATTAGGTAAAATAAGTAATAATAATAATAATATAATTAAAATGGTTCATGAGGCATGCACGTCAGCAGCTCGTAGTAGCTCATGGGTAATTTAATTCAGTAGTGTAACATGACTTGCATGTTCTTCAAGCTTAGAGCTACTTAGGATAAATGAATGTGGTTTCATGTTACAATGTGAAGTCATTCTAGAAATAAAAAGGGTAATTTAGGTTCATTTCCCTTTTTTTTTTTAGACGTTACGAGGTTGGTTGAATAGACCGATCCCGTTTTGAGATAGGGTAGAGGAAATAAGAGATAAACTATAAAGTTTTACTGAAAAAAAAAGGTTTTAAATGCATTTAGGAGGTTTTAGGGATTACACAAAGGAAATTTGTGATTTTTGAGATGAGGAAAAGTATTTTTAATTTTAACATGAAAATTACTTTTCACACAGACTTTTCAAAAGAAATGGACAAATATGTATTTTATTAAAAATACTTCACTAAAAAATATGGTTTTTGTATGTGAAAGACTTGTAATGTTAAATGAAAGACTGCCAAATTTCTTGAAGATATACACACTATATTGAGAGTTATAAGTATTAAATCTTAGTTTAAATTTAAAGGCTTTAAACGGGTACAAAAAGGTCATGGGGTTGGTCAAGTTGCCCCAGCCCATATTGAGAGATTTAATTATTATACATTATAATTTTCTGGTGAATTGATTTATGCTACGAAGCTTTTGTATCTAGTTTGTTAAGCTGAATTTTTTGCATTAACTTATAAATTGGTTTTTAATTCTTTTTAGTTCTGTATTGTTAACTTACTTTTTATCAGAAGTTTTTAATAAATATAATAATACCATTCTGTTCAAGAAAATTAATATACTGTTAATAAAGAATCCTCCAACTTTCTTGAACACTTTAATTTAATTAAACCTTTTGTAATCTTATTACCCCTCTTTTCGTTTTTTCAGGCATGTAATGTTTGGTCTAATATTAGTGTAAATAGAAATATCACACCATAATATGAATGATATATAGTAATACATTTAGTTATATATATATATATATATATATATAT